ATGTATCTGTTTTTATATTAATCACTCCTTCTTGCCGCGGGGTTTCAATTATTTAGAGTTTTGAACTCATCAGGTCTACAAGATCCGACACTCCTTTTGATTGGGTTGTCGCTGTGGTTCTTCCCTCTCTTTGTTAGAGACTTTTCGTTCTGTGCTGCTAAAATGTCGTGATAGCTTTGAAACCCTGCCGGCATTAATTTTCAAGATCGCCTGTTATTAAGTAAGAAGAATCTGAATTTTGAGGTTGTTTTTTTCCTCCAAACAGCGTGTTCCCTTAAATGTTACAAGTGTGCCACATCTTCCGAGCAGAAATGCGAAAGAAACCAGACTTTAGAGGGGTGTGCAGATTCTTCATTCCACTGTGCAACAGCAATGTTCTCTCAAGTCGGCCAGGATGGAACGTTGTTCAGTCAGACATACATGAAGAGGTGTTTGCCATTACCGTTCATAAAAAGTTATTGTGCCAGTTCAAATCAGTCGTCCTCGGGGCGTCTCCGTAACTGTTCAATATCATCCTGTGACGTGGACTATTGCAATGGGCCGACCCCAACAACAACAACCGTTCGAACGGAGGTCGACACCACCACCAGTGAAGGCACAAGCCAGGAACCAGATACAACCCAGCGGGGACCTGGTGCGAGAGCTGGAAGTCCCTCGACAGTCTTTACATCAAGCGCGGTTGGTCTGATAATGACCGTTTTTGCCCTCGGCAAGATTTTGGATATTTGCTCATTTAGCTGAGATAATCCCTGGTTTAGGTGTTCAGTGCCTCCCAGACTGTTCTTGTTGTATAGCTTACATCCACTGTTCAAAATAGAATAACCGTGATAGCTTAAAGGAGCTCAGTCAGGGTATTTTGAGTTATTTTAGCCACGTACAAAACTACCTTTAAATTGAAGGAAATCTGAAAATAACAGTTAACTAAGATGGAAAAACACAACTGAGACAATAATAAACCTTATAGGAACAAGGATGGTTAAGGATGGAGAACATTAACACGGATTGCAAACGACGAACTTAAAAAAATTGGGCCAAACTTTTTAAGATGCGCAAAACGTGACGTAGCTCCTTTTATATAGAACCCGGAGACATATATCTTCAAGACTGCCTTAAGGGGGGATGGGNAGGGAGAGGCTCATCAGAGGACAGGGGGCTATTTTATATTTATTCCTACTGATTGCACATGCCCACGAAAATAAAACGAGTTAAATTGAAAATTAAGTTATTATTCTCCCGTTCATGATCATCAGGAGATGGCTTAATCATATAAAGTTAAATGGATATTTTTGTTTATCATAAACGCGTGTATATAATAGCTGTTATATCTTGCAGTGTAGCATCGGAGCAGTTGTGATTATCGTTTTCGTCAAATAATAATTTTATAGCCAAAGAGAAGGTTCAGATTGAATGATTTTTTGGGGAAGAAGCAATAAAATGTGTCTGAGTTTAGCATCATTAAAAAACACTTGGAAGTGACCTGATGAGCGATATATTGTGATAATGGGTTTTAGCCTGGAAAAGCACTTCTCTAGAAACCTGGGAAAACTGTCTGTTTACAGGGATGTTATCTTCAGGGACATCAACATGGGCTCCCGACAGCACACCGAGCTTGGGTCCAACACTGAAATCGTTTTAATCTAAGAATATATACAGGACATGGCCAGAAAATAACCAGAATTAGTGACC